CGACAGGGAAAAGCAGAAGGGGGAAACAAAAAGAAGAAGCCCAAACAGCAGGCAGACGCGTGTGGCACTCACCAAGAGCCGAGGCCAGAGTGCGCATCACGCGCGTGGTCTCTTGCCGATCGATGACGCTGCTAGAGGGGGCCTCCTCGGCCTGGACGCGATTGGCGGACCCGGGAGCCGGGCGCGGTTTCATGGTCATCTCCGGCCAGGCATGGGACTCCAGAGCGCTGACCAGGCGGTCGCGGCCGAAGTCCCGGCCAAAGAACGCCTCCTCCTCTTCCAGATCGCTCTCATGGCCGGCGGCCGAGGCGCTGAACCAAGGGACAAACTCGAGCAAAAGACGGTGGGCTTCCTGAGCCAAGGCCGTGGCCGCCGGGCTGGGGCTGGCGTCCTCCATCTCCGGGGGGGTCCCGGCGAGGAGGGTAAACTCCGACCCCGAGAACAACCCGGCCAGCGAGGGGAGCAGAGGTCCAAGGGCAAGCCCGGGCGGAGGCGAGTCCGCCTCACCCTCGGCATCCGGCTCCGTGTCTTCGGCATCCGGGTCGGGATAAGCGCGCAGGATGCCGAGGGCGGTTGCGATGCTTTCCTCCTGTCGGCGAGGCAGATCAAAGGCGGACGGTGCGTGCTTGTGTGAGGCCCGGGGACAAGGGGGGAGGGGAAGCGAAGGAGTCCAAGGGGGAGGGAGGGGGGGGGGGGAAGCAAAAGAGGTGCACGCACCCGAGTCTCATCGATGGCGATAATCACCACGGCCGACTCGCCGAGCTCCACTTCGGACAGACGCATCGCAGCGCTGGCCACATCGGCCAAGTCCAGCATGACCACAGACAGCGTGGCCGAGTAGTACTTGTTGTCCAGCCGAAGATCAAACGAGCCAGGCTCCGTGGAGGTTGCTCCAAGGGCTTTGCCAAAGCAGGAGTGTTAGATTGACCCCGTCGGTGGCCATCGTTCACCATGCGGAAGATCTGCCGAGCGTACCAGTGAGCAGCGCCTGCGACCGCTCAGGGCCGGCTGCCGAAAGCAGGACCACCTGGTTCATCGTCGTGTGGCTTGACAAGGGCGGGGGCGAGAGGGCGAGAGGGCGAGAGAGCAGTGGGGAGGAGGAAAGAGAGGCGGGATAAATAGGGGTGGGGAAGGTGGTGGGGGGGGGGGGGGGGGGGGGGGGGGGGGGGATAGAAAACGCCCCCTCTTCCCGGGCCTGAAGTGGCCGCACTTTGGCCAAGGCTGGCTCCCCGCCCGCCCCCTTGCCACAACCGGGGGGGGGGGGGGGGGGCAGGAGCGCCCTGGACCGCTGGGTCCCCTCGGGCCCACTATTCACGGCGGCGCACGCACACGGCCCCCGGCCGATCGCGAGCTCCGTTGGCACCTCATCTGGGGCGGCGATCGGCCAAGGAGTAGCGATTGATTCCCGAGCATGCCTGGGGCCAATGTGGGTTGTGTACAAAGGGGGGCGCGGGCTGGCTGGCGTAAATCCCCCCGGGGACAATCAGCCTCCCCCGCCCCCCGGACCTCACACCTGCCCCCTCCCTCCTCTCGTTGATCCTCCTTCTCTCCATCTTTCCTTCCCTCCCTTTGCCTCCTCCTCTCCCTTTTTTCTGGCCACATGTACCTGGGCGCCCGCCTCGGTCGAAGCCTGCGCCCTTCCCCGCTTCCGCTCTTTTGCCACTCCATCATGCCCCGCCGGTCGCTTTCCTCGACGCCGGCCGCTGCCCCCCCGGCTGCCGGGGCCTTGCATTTCCGTAATGTCCTCCTGCGCACAGTGCCTGTGAACACTGTGGCCCGTGGGAAGGTGTGCTCGCCGGGCGCGGCGGTTCGCCTTTCGCATGCGGCCGGCGAGAACCCGGTCGCCGGGAACATCGGCGGCCAGACCTTCCGCTTGGACCTTGGCCAGACGGTGTACTCCCTCTGTGCCGGGACTGGCCTCACTGCGCCGCGAGTGATCGCACAAAAGTGCGTGGCAATGCCCCCCCCCCTCCCCTTCTTTTCCATACATGGCCGCCTGCATCCTCCCTGACACCGGTGTTCCCGTCACGCCCTAGCATCGGCGATCTGGCCGAGATTGGTCTTCGCCCAGAGGACCTGAAATCCCCCCAGGCAGCAGCTCTCCTGTCGCTGTCGGAACCCAGCCCCGACAGCGCGCCTGAGCAGCCCGGGCCAGCCCCGCATCGCAATTTGACCACCGGGGCGGAGCCTCATGCGCATTGCTACTCCGGCTACCAGTTTGGGTACCATGCCCTGCAGCTCGGCGACGGCCGGGCCATTTCTCTTGGCCAGGTCCAGGGATGCGGCGCACCGGCTCCAGTCGCTGGGTCGATCTTCGCTGCCAGCAAACCCACCCCCCTGCCGAGCGATCCTCCCTCAGTCTTCGAGGGGCTTGTCGAAGTCCAGGTCAAGGTACGGATGGATAAGCTCCAGCCCTCCCGTTCCACGCCTCAACACTGACACTCGCCATGTTGGTGCTCATCCCCCTGGGCGCCTTGCCTGCCTGCTTGCCTGCCTGCTTGCCTGCCTGCTGCTCAGGGTGCAGGGCTGACCCCCTATTCGCGACAGGGCGATGGCCGAGCGGTCTACCGGAGCTCTGTTCGGGAGTTCCTCTGCTCGGCATTCATGCGTGCGGTGGGAGTCGCCTCGACCGGCGCGCCGGTGCTGATGCTCGGCGAGGACTTCGTGCGTTGCCTCTTCATCCCCCTTCCCCCCCCCCCCCCCCCCCGGGCCTGTTCTGCCCCATAACTCGCCGTCATCTTGCCTAGTCCTCTGCATGTGCTGACCTCTGCCCATGGCACCAGGCCTTCCGCCAGCCGGAGCCCAACTCCGGGGCCGTGTTCGAGATCTGCTGTGGTCTAATGCGCACCGCGGCTCCATCTCACTTGCGCATCGGTTCCTTCGAGGCGCTAGCCTTTTCCCGGAAGACCCCCGCCCCAGCCGGGTCGGCCCTCCTGCGCACCGCCATCCTGCAGGATCCTGGCATGGATGAGGGGCTCACCGATCTCGAGCGGCAGGCAGTGAGGTATGTCCGTCGACTGGGCGTCGACCGGGCTGACGGCCTGGCCGGTGCCCCGGGCCCGGAGCCTCCCCTGCGTCTGACCGGGACACCGGAGTCCCCGGCTGCCGCAGCCGCCCTAGACCGGGTCCTAGCACGGGTGCTGGTGCGTGCGGCTGCCCGGCGCAATGCTCGTCTGGTGGCCCAGTGGCAGGCGGTGGGCTTCATCCATGGCGTGCTGAACACGGACAACGGTATGTGCTTCGCCTGCTTGCTGCCGGCCCCCTTCCGGCCGGGCTCGATCCTCGTTCTCTCCTGCTCCTCACATTGCATCGACTCATGCCCCCCTTTGCCCGTGGGCTTGTGCCCGGTCCCGCCGATGCAGTCAGCATCCATGGCCTGACCATCGACTATGGGCCTTTCTCCTTCGTGTCGCAGTATGCCCGCAATGCCAGCGGGAACCTGAGCGACTCGTCCGGGGTGTATGCCTTCGACTGTCAGCCGGATGTTGTCCGGCGCAATGTCCTTTCCCTGGCGGCGCATCTCCGGCGAAGCCTTTTCCCCCAGGTGGATCCTGCCCCGGGTGCCGATGATTTGGCAGCCCTCCTGGGCAACCTCCCGGCCGAGTACGGTGTCGAGGCGCACCTGGATGGCGAGGAGCTCCTTGGCGTGGCGCGTGACACTTTTGACCGGCACTTCCGCCAAGAGGAGGATCGCCTCCACCAGGCAAAGGTATTCCCCCTCTTCCTCTTCTTCTCTCGCCCTCTTTCTCTCTCGCCCTCTTTCTTTCTTTCTTTCTCTCTCCCTCTCTCCCTTTTGTTCGGGGTATTTTCCCTTTGACCTTTCTGACCGCCCTTCCCACGTCGGATCGCCAGTTTGGCCTTGTAACAGCCGTTAGTGAGGATGACCGGCGCCTTTTCCGAGATTTCTACCACCTACTTCAGGAGACTGGCAGCGACATGACCACGGCCTTCCGCCTGTTGGCGTGTATCCCCTCCGGGTTTGAATCGGGCCAGGAGCGCCAGGAGTTGGCTCGCCTCGCCCAGCTCGATTACCCGGAGGCCCTCCTGGCTCCGGCTGCGGCGGCTGCCATCCGGGAAGCGGCTACCAGTGCCCCGTCACCGGCCGACCCGGCTTCGGTCGATGCCATGGTCCGTCGTGTGCTGCTCATTCTGAAGCATTCGCGTTCGGCCAATTGGCGAGTCGAAGCTTTGGTGGCCGACTTGGCTGACCGGCTGGCCTCGTCCGGAGCTGACCCCGTCCGGCCGACTGGCACGCCGGATTTGGTGACCTACCTGCTGGAAACCTTCCCTGCGTTGGCCGATGACCGGGCGGCCACTATGACCTCCCTCATGCCGGGGCACACGCTGGGGCGCATGGTCGCCGTGCTGCAAACGCACCGCCATCTGCTTCCGGCACATGTGCGTCTCATGCATGCATTGTCGCCGTCTTGCTGCTTGCTCGGCCAGCTGGGTGGTCATTTGTTATTGTCCCCATGCACGACCCCTTCTCGTCCCCCTGCACACCCTGACCATTCGTATCACACACACATACACACGCACACACGCACACACGCACACACGCACACACGCACACACACACTGCCCTGACTCCTGCCAGTATGCGCCGGAGGATGTGGCGCATTTTGAGCGTCTCTTTGACCAGCTTGCTGCTCTGCCCGACGAGAAGGAGGCCCTAGATGAGGCATTTGACCGGCAATGGCTCGATTGGATCGCCCGCTACCAGGCACGTGTCTTTCACCTTTCCTGCCTTGCCACATGCGCCTTGCCCGGCAGCCCCTCTTGCCCCGGCTGGACTCATCTTCCTAACCATCGCCCCTTCCCATTACACAGGCTCGCCTTGGCCGCGACCAGCCATCTAGCTTGACGCGCGCCGAGAAAATCCGCCAAGCGGCCGTGCGCATCATTCCCCGGCACCATACGCTGCAGCGGCTGATCGCCGCATCTGCCCCCCTCTTTGAGGAGCGCCCTGCTGGCACCCTGTTTTCGGTGGATGTCGGTCAGTCGGATGCCGAGCCTTCCTTCGTGCTTACAGCCGACTGTCGGCCCGAGCTGCTGGCCCAGTATCAGGCCCTGCTGACTCGGCCCTTCGACATGCCGAGCCCGGAGCTCTACTCCGGGGTTGAAGGATCGTCGGAGGCCGAAAGCACCGGCCGAACGATTGCCGTTGGCTGGGCCGCGTATGGGCCCCCGCGACATGGTCTCGATGACATGCGCTGTGCCCTGAGCTGCTCTTCTTGAGCGCCCCCCCCCCCCCCTCCCTCCCTCCCGGCCAAGGGAGCCTTTTCCCGGCCCCTGTGTACCTTTGTGTTCCCGGGGACAAAGCGGGTCGTCGACCATTTTCCGCCCCATACCTCCCAAAAGGGCGAAGAAAGAAAGTGCTCCCGCATGAATGGAAAAAAGAGGCATCGGTTGTGCTCAGGCATGTATTTTCGACTGCCCCCCGAGGATGGCCAGTGCAGCGTCTGTCTGTGGGTGTGGGCGTGTGTGCCAGGCCTCTACTTCATGGTCGGGGGGCAGCAGGAAGGGCCGAGACAACATGTGAAGGGGGAGATGCGGGGATGGGAGAAGCGCGCAGCGAGGAGAAACAGCAAGTAGCATGGGCGCCTGTGCCATACTCTCGAAAAGGAGGGGACACTCCATGCGAGAGTGAGAGCTTGGGTGTGGATGATGTACACATGCACGGATTTAGGACCGTGCCCATAGGGTGCGCTTCCAGTCCTCCCCTCGTTGGCGGGAGCCGCTCACTGGGCGGCGGGG